GAACATGATAGTTCTGCAGAGGCAGAGCTAAAGGGAATGTAATTGCTGCTGAATAAACATGCATGGAAGGCACTGATTTGCATGACAGTGAGACAGGCATTGGAATAATAGTTCTGCTTTCCTTATTATAATAGCTCTGTTTGTTTATTGGAGAGGATTTCAAATGCATAGAAGTTAGAGAAAATACTATACACCAAGACTTAGGACTTAGTTTATTTAGCTGACAAAAAAAAACCCCAGTTGATTACATGGTACAGTTATCTGCATAGCAGAAACCCAGGAGTTAGTAACAGCTCTTAAATGCAGAAGTACGAGAACAGGTAATTGGTTGGAAGATGAAGTAATTGGTTTCACATTAGGGGCTAACTGTAAATACCACTGTATATGACACTGAGTGTACCCTACAGTGATTTACTACCAGTGCTTTTAAAGACCACTTGGTTTCCACTGCAACTAGTTCATTTTACAACCTATTACAACCATGTCAGTCTTTGTTAGTGTGATGTAAAGGCTGTGAACAAATAGGCTGCATTGTATTTAACACTGATTTAGAGAGAAGTTGTGCTGCTTTTCACTGCTTACAGATCACAGAAGTTTTGCAGATGCACTTTTATAAATTTTCCAGTCCAGTATTTTTATCTAAAGCAAGTTGCATGCTAAGCACTCTTCTAATTCTGTAAGTGCTTCACATTTTTTTTCATTACATTTCTAGTGTCTTTGACATGCTGCTGGTTCATAGAATCATAGAATGGTTTCAGTTAGAAGAGACCTTAAAGCTTATCTGGTTCCACCCACCATCACCCCCCGTCATGGCAGGGACACCTTCTACTAGACCAGATGTTTCTGTACACTGTGCTGCCTGTCTATAGCTGGTTATTCTCCAGTTGAGTGCTTCTTTTCCCTCACTAAATGCAGAAATGAATAATCTTCCCCAACATCATAACTATTCTCACTGTCTGAACTCATGTACCTGCAGCCACTGGGACACAGTTTTGGCAAATAGTATTTTTTCCATTTCCTCACTGATCTTCATTTCCAGTCTCAAGAGTCAGTTTGGGAGGCATCTTGATCAAATAAGTCACTGAAATCAGCTTGACAGTTGAAGGGATAGGCTGCTTTCCTTCACATTTGTTTGGGGTATAGCTGCCCATACAACCCATGGGAAGGAAGAAGTTCTGTGTCATGGAGATGACAGAACTCTGCTTCATTTTCACAGAATGGGATAATTCAGGCTCCAGAAGTCTACAGTCCACCCTCCTTCTCAAAGCACTCAAATCACTACCCTGTGCTGCTCTTGCCATCCTGGTAGCTGTGAACCAACACCAGCTGAGGAAGCTGCCTGATTCAACCATGTCTTCCTTGGGATACTGCACTCTAATGGCACTCAGAGGTTTTCCTTGCCCCCATGCACAACCTTTTCCCTGAAGTTTTAGCAAGGCACACACCTGTCCCCTTTGAGCTCCAACACTGTGGAGCATCATAGCACAGTGGTGAACCCACAGAGCTGCTGAGCAGGACAGTGTGAAAGTGCCTCTGGAAAATGGAAGATAGATCCCACTCTGGGAAGAGCACCCCATTAGCAAAACAAACGCTCTGTAAGTTGAGGAACAGGAGACCCAAACTTGAGATAAGCCTGGGAAAAATTTGTGAGTAGAAGCCTGGTTAGTGCTGGCAAACCATACAGAGCTTCTGTATTTTAGGTCCAAAAGTATTATGATGGTAAGATTGTTTTAGAAAATGCCTAGCCTGTCCTCAACACTAGGACTTGCACCACAGGTGGATGATGCAGGTCCCTGAGACAGAGCACAAAGAAAATTCTGTTGCTAAGAGACTAAAGTGCAAGGAGAAAAATTTAGTGTCTTCCTCCTACTACTGCCAACAGTCATAAAGTTACCTGAAAAAAGGTACCTGCAGGATAACCTGAGCTCTGAGCTTCATGATGACTTTGGCTCTACTTGTCTTGCTATCCTGACACGATACTTGACATAGGTGGTCTGCTTCTCCTTGGAAGATGAGCAGCTGTTTCTCCAGGGCCTAAGATTACACAGCACCAGGACAGGCCATGGAGGTGAAGAGGCAACAGTTGGGAATCTTTGGCCAGACTGCAGTCTGACATCCCCATCACCCTCCTACTGCATATCTCTCTTCTTGGAGAAGAAATATGCAATTGCTTGGTATATCAGAGATTGCAGGAAACCAGACACAAAAAAAATACCAAACATTTATTTTCTCCTATTTTAATAAGGGCATAGCTTCATCTCTTAAATGTGTCTGAAAGCAACTAGAAGAGACTTTAACAGCTCCCAACAGCCGGTTCAAAACCACTCCTGAGCAAGCACATTTCTTCAGGATTAACGGTATGCAGAACTGCTGACAAGTCAGCTGTGTTAAGCCCTTGAAATGTGCTTGCATGTGGATAAAAATGGGTGCATATACATGATTTTAAGGATATAGTAAACAGAAATTTTTCTGCACTTGGGCCACAACAACCCCCAGCAGGGCTACAGGCCTGGGGAGGAGTGGCTGGAGAGCTGCCAGTCAGAGAGGGACCTGGGAGGATTGATAATGAGCCAGCAGTGTGCCCAGGGGGCCAAGAAGGCCAATGGCATCCTGGCTTGGGTCAGCACTGGTGTGGCCAACAGGGAGAAGGAAGGGATCTGAGCCCTGTGCTCGGCACTGGGAAGGCCGCCCCTCGGTGAGTGGGTTCAGCTTTGGGCCCCTCACCCCAAAAAGGCCATTGAATGACTCGAGCATGTCCAGAGAAGGGCAACGGAGCTGGTGCAGGGTCTGGAGCACAGGTCTGCTGGGGAGCGGCTGAGGGAACTGGGGAGGTTTAGTCTGGAGAAGAGGAGGCTGAGGGGAGACTTCCTGGCCCTCTGCAACTCCCTGACAGGAGGGTGCAGAGAGGGGGGATGAGTCTCTTGACCCAACGGAACAAGCACCAGGACGAGAAATAATGGCCTTAAGTTTCACCAGGGAAGTTTAGGCTAGATATTAGGAAGCATTTCTTTGCAGAAGGGGTTGCTGGACGTTGGAATGGGCTGCCCAGGGCAGGGGGGAGTCCCCATCCCTGGAGCCGTTGAAGAGTCGGGCTGACCCAGCACTGAGGGATCTGGTGGAGCTGGGTACAGTCAGTGTGAGATTAATGGTTGGACTAGATGATCTTCTTTTCCAACTGATTCTGTGAAATTGGCTCGCTAGAAACCTTCACATCCCTGTACTTACTGAGGACTCTACTGCTCTACCTCTGACCATGCACAAAGGCCTGAGACCAAAAGTGGTACCAGTGTCCCATTCTCCATAGCTGGGCAAAGGATAGGATGGCTGAAGTTTCTGCCTGGCACAGGCAGAGCCAAACTCTTTAATGTATCCCACCATCAATGTCATAACTTCAGTGCATTTATCTGCTGCATTAATTTGTCAGCTGGGTAATATAATCCCGTAATTTATTCAGTTGTGCTTGTTCCCATTTACACAGGTATCAGAATAAACAAAATCAGGAATATACTTGCTTCCATTTCTCAGCAAAATCCAGAGAACTAAGTAGGACTGTGTTATTTCACTTGGCTGCAGCAAGCATCCAAGTCTCCAGGACCATGCATCAGCTCTAGTAAGTCTCCAAATTACTTGGTTATGCTTCCAAACTAATACTGTTTCCCAGACTGCCATTCTGCACTTCCAAACCCTGCCTGTCTTGGGGAAGGCCTTTTTACATCAGGCCTGAAGCTCAGAGGCAATATACAGTCCTCAGGTCTGTCCCCACTCCTCCCTTATCTGTCCTTCTTCCAGCTTCAAACCTATGTATGCTTCAAGAACAGCTTTCTGCAGGCAAGCTCAGACAATGGTCAAAATGAAAGGATAGAAATTTCCAAGGGTCAGTCTCATCATTGTCTGTAATTCCTCTCATCTCTGATGCCAGCCAACAATGTCTGCGCCTTCTGTCTGAGCTGATACAATCTTTTCCCCCTTGCTTTTTATAGATTGCAATCACAGGTTTTGGGCAAGCACAGCAAATATTCCACCATGCTTCATACAGGCACTGTACTGTCAGCCAATGGCACAGTAAAGTACAGGAACAGATTCTTTCTTCTGCTCATCAAGTGAGCAGTAGAAAAGAGCAAGCAGTGCCTTTGCTGCAAGTGGCCCTGCAGGCACTTGCCTAACACCAGGCAAAAAGTATTTCAGGGAGTTAAGTATGAGAAATGTTTAAGGCTCTCTGGAGTTCTGGTGTGTAGCTGATCTAAGGATATCAGTCAAATCCTTTAGGGCTTGTGCAAACAGAGAAGTAACCCAAAATGGCTGAAAATCCAACTTCTACTTTGGTAGCTCAGCTCAGGGTCATCTTAAACAGATGCATACTAATAAGCATCAGCCCCAGAGCTTATCAGATCCCTTTCAGAGAGGACATTCAGAACACCTTTCACAAAGCAAGTTGCTTCTCTAGCAAAATCCTCCCCATTTTGCCATCAGCACAAGCAGTACAAGGCAATATTGCAGGCAGTCTCTGAGTAAAGTAACATTTCTGAACTACCAGAATTACAATTTGTCACAGTAAAAAGCACTCAAATCAACGTATGATAAAATACTACAAGTACTGGCAGAAGGCAGGAACAGGCACTTTAAAAAATCTGCTGTGACTAAAATTCAGTTACAAGCTCACAGAGGAAATATGCTCTTGTTCCTGCTTTATAAAAATTCAAGATCCAGGTGGTTCTAATTGAAGGGGAAACTGACACAGGCCTCCCAGATAAAGCAGAGCCATTTTCTCCCTTTTATATCTCTGAGTCTTGACTACATGTTCATGTTTCACAGCTGAGTTCTATGCATTTAACAACCTGAAAAATGCATCACTGCCTTGTCTTTTTCACTCTCCTTTGCTCTTCCTTAATACAAGTTGATTTTAAAGGTAGAGCTGAGAGCAAGCTTAATGTAGTCAAGGAAGTAATACCAGATGACCACTGGTTTAAGTGATGATTATTAAAAATAAATCACTACCAGAGTTAAGTGATAAACTGCTCTTCCATTTATTTCAAATCAGACTGCTTGTGAGCTGAATTCATTGAGGACTTCATTATTCATACAGGCAGGTTCAATAAGGTTGATAGCCAGAGTATGTGGCAGTTTAGAGGTAGCTGCATAACAAAGCAACTTGCTAGCGCTTCACACTTCATACAAAATGGAGATAAACTTTTTTTTTAAAACAGTACAAGAAATGTTGCATCACAAGTCATTGCCTGATGATAGCTGGGAGTATTAGGGTGACCAACATTCAGCTGCAAGGACAACAGATCTTTCCCATACTCTAACTAGGCTATCATTCTCAGGTCAGATATGCTTAAGTGAAACATTTTAGAACCACTCAGTACCGGATGCCTGCCTCTGGTACAATATTTAATTAACAAAACACAGAAAAGCAGCTACAGTCCATTTTGTTTTAATCTATCGAGTCTTCTTAAGTGTTCATATACTGTCCAGTTTCTTCAGGATGAAAGGAGCTGAAAAGACAAAGCAGAATGGACATAACTCAGCTGAAAGGAGTGAGATGTGTGCAGTGAATCTGGGATAAAACTGCTGCACATTTACGTGGCATCTAAAGTATTCAGACTCTGGGCAAAACACCACCCTCTGCCTCCCACAGAGCCCCTTCCCTCCCTGCACAATTGCTTTAACAGGTGAGGCAGCACGACTCAAGGGGGGATCGGGTCTGCCAGCTTGTGCCACAGGTCAGAGCCTCGGGCCTGTTCTCGATACGGGCGGGGGGACCCCCCAACGCCATTTGGCGTTGGCTGAGCAGACGGGTGCCCTGCAAGGAAAGGTGCCAGACTCTGATGACACGCACCAAGGCGCTGCCTACACGACAGCATGGCCCGGCCCTGCGCGCTCGGGAGCGGCACAACCGCGCTGCCGCCCGCCCCAAC